TCCGGTCCAAAGGTGTCCTCTCTAATCCACACATCTTCATAGGCCCTGACAACATCCTTTTTACCTTCTTGGGGACAAAATGGGCACCATCACGAAAGATGACCGTCACCGTTCTCCCTTTTAGCCATTTGACTTTCACCTTGTCCAACGAACTGTTCAGGATGAACTTGACTTCCCTCCCGTTGACTTCCATTACTCCTGGGTCGACGTTCGTTGGAAGTATCCCTTCTTCGTAGCATGCTCTCACCATCTATTGAATCCGATCTTCCTCAAATTGATAGTCATTCGGGACTTGGGATCTTGCGTCCCTGCCCGTCTGGCCAGCTGCTTCTGCCTCCATCAAACCCTAGGGTTCTAACACCGAGTAAGTAATTCCTCTTGCTACGCTTACACCGATCACAGTTGCTGGTCGCTGGTACGATGAGAGACCCGCTGCCGACCAGGCCTGCCTATCGGTAAGCAGCGCTAAGACCGAGCTCTTCACCAGTCTTAGCGCCCGCCGAACCGCGGACCAGCCATTGCTTTTTGCATTTTGTGTGTATTTTCTTTTTGTGCTCTTTATTCCGTGTTCTTCTCCGAGCACGTTTGGGAAGTTAGCGCCCGGTAGTTTGAGCCTCGGCAAGGCTCAGCATACCGGTCGGCCGAGGCTCGGACTTGATAGCTGGGCCAAGTACTCGTGGTAGGGTAGGTGGCCTACCCTCTCAGGACAACCATTGGCTGCCGCTGCCAGCAATCACCCAGGGTCAGGTCGAAAACGAATTTTGGCGAGGAACCTATGAAGACCATCGGATCAACAGCCAGAAACCGACAAGGCGGGGAATAGGTATCTCGCCCCTACTGCTGGGGCAAGGTTCCACTAGCACACTAGTCATGGCCTATTTGGACCTGTGCGGCACTGTAAGAAAAGGAAGAAAAGTAATTTTAAAGACTTAAAAAAAAGAAAAATGGCGACGGTACATTTCCCAAGATGGAAAGAAGTCGGACTTTTGAAAGTGCAGCCGTCCCACTAACCCTCCCGTCTCCACCCTCTGCTCCCCACCCAGCCAATACCTAATCAGGACAGAGTGGTACGTGACTGTCGCAGTCTCGCATACCACCTCGAGGGAGTCCCTTCGTGTGCCTGATGGGACTCCCTCCTCTGACGGTTGCCATGCTGAAGCGTGCATTTCGTATATTTTGAGAGAATCGAAGTACTGGATGGGTTTAACAATTGACCCAGAAAAAGAAGGGGGTCAACATTATGCCCTTCGAGTACTTGATTTTTTTTAATCTTTTGAAGAGCTGCCAATTAAAATGAGTCTTTCTATTTTCTTTTCCCGCCTCTATCTTGGAAGCTGGAAAGAAAAAGCACAAAAACAAAATAAAAAAACACCACTTCAGAATATAACTCCCTCGCAATTTTGCTGCCATCCGATTCTCCTGCATCAGTGGTCGGACGATGTCCCGCAGATGTCCCAAAGGTGTTTGTGGGACACGGTTTACCTTACTCCTTCGCTAGTGGAACCGTGGCCCTGGTAGTGGAGGACATGGGCCCTCACTCCACTCCGTAGTCACCAGATGAACAAACGTCAAAACAAAAGAACATATGGCGGTGTATCTGCCCATGTTTTAGCAAAAGATTCGTTCTCGTTTTGCACATTTCGTGAGTTTTTTTTTTTTTAATACATTTTTTCACATTTTTAATTTGTTTTTACATTTCTTTTACATTTTTTTTATTTTTATTTATTTATTTTTACATTTTGTTTTTTACATTTCGTGAGTTGTGGAACGAGGCCCATCATCGTGGTTACCGCACCGGATAACCTCAAAGGCCGTTCCGTAAGGTGTTGGGAGGAAAACGGAGGGCGCGCGCGCGAAAAACGAGCGAGGGAGGGCGGGAGGGAGGGGAGGGGAGGGTAATTGAGAGGCATTGAAAACAAGAGAGAGGGACCACTGGCGGGATCGCCGCGCATTGACGTCCGCCTCATTTCGTGCACATACTACGGTAGTAATTCCTCACACGTTTTTGCGCAGGTGACCGACCACCTTCTCTCTCTCGTGGTCGAGATGGAGCGCGCCGCCGGCCCCTCTCTCCTGAATAGCGCATACAGATTGTTCATGCGAAGAACGTCCGTCTACGTGGGAGTCGTTATAACTGGGGCGTTGATTGGAGAGAGGGTGAGTCAGCGATCGCTGAGCTGAGTCAAGATTGTTCGTCGAAGATTCAGAACCTCTTCACGTCGGATACCCTATTTCTTAGATTGGGAATGACATTGATTGGTCCTCCCGACGGGGTTGCCGCAGACGTCCATCGGTTGATTGCTTGCCTGATTACTGGTCTGATTGCGTGGTTGATTGCTTGCTTGATTACTTGTTTGATTGCGTGGCTGATTGATTCCTTGATTACTTGTTTGATTGCGTGGTTCATTGCTTGGTTGATTACTTGTTTGATCGCGTGGTTGCGTGGCTGCTTGCTTGTTTGATTACTTGTTTGATAGCGCGGTTGATTGCTTGCTTGCTTGATTACTTCTTTGATTGCGTGGTTGATTGCTTGCATGATTACTTGTTTGATAGCGTGGCTGATTGCTTGTTTGATTATTGTTTGATAGCGTGGTTGATTGCTTGCTAGATTACTTGTTTGATCGCGTGGTTGATTGCTTGCTTGATTGCGTGGCTGCTTGCTTGATTACGTCCTTGATTGCGTGGTTGATTGCTTGCTTGATTACTTCTTTGATTGCGTGGTTGATTGCTTGCTTGATTACTGGTTTGATTGCGTGGTCGATTGCTTGCTTGATTACTTGTTTGATTGCGTGCTTGATTGCGTGCTTGCTTGCTCGATTCCACCCCAGCCCTCCCCCCAGCCCACCC